CCCCTCCCACCCCCACCTCCCCACACCAGCAGAGCCTTGAGTACAGCAGCCCCCCCAAAACTGGTACACTGCCTGTATTTTTACTGCACAGAGGTACACTGAGATCAACTCTGGGAATATTTGTAGTAGTACAGATAGTAGTAATGGCATTAATAGGAGTAGTAGCAATTGTAGTGATACTAGCAGAAATAATAATAATAGTTGAACTGGTGTAATAGTAGTAGTAGTAGTAGCTGCAATGACAGTTGTACTAGTAGCAGTAGAAACAGGAGTGGTGGAGTAGCAATTGTAGCAGAAGTATGTGCAGTAGTAGTAACAATAATAGTAGCAGTAGTATTGGCGCTGCAGATGGCTGCCATCGGTTCTGTACCGGAAACAGATTCCTTGTGTGTAACATACTTGGCCAAATAAAGGTGATTATCTTTATCCTTAGTATTAGCTGTTGTATTGGCAGTGGTATGAATAATAACAGTAGTATTAGTGGTAGCACTCAGACTAAAAATAGCAGTAAAGGTACCAGTATTACAGTAGTGGTAGTAGTGACGGTAGTAGAATTAGTAGGAACATATGTTTTCCTATGGCAGTACTAATAATGGTAACATCAGAAGCAGAAGTGGTACTACCACAATAGTAGTGGTAATACCGTAATACCAAGCAGGTGCAACTGACCTGTGACAGGCAGTATTACAGTAGTAGTATAGCAGTAGCAGCAGTAGTACCGCTGTAGTAACAGATGCTCACCTGTGTTGTGTTTCTGCAGCCACCTGGACAGGTAACAGCCCCTTCCCCTACAGCCCCACAGGACCTCAGCAGAGTGGGCGGAGCCACCAGCAGCCTCCTTCTCATCGTCATCATCATCATACCCCGAGCACTCACTTTTGTAAGATCTCATGTACTGGAGCTAATGTGCTTCTGTGCAGTAGTACATCATTCTGAGTCAATTTATTCCTGCAGGGTCACAGCACCACAGTACGGCTCCGTATCCTCAGCCAGTGTCCAACCACCCAGGTATGAAACCTGTCCCACAGAAAGTGTCCTAACCTGTCCTACAAGACAACACAACTGCCCCAAACTTTCCAGAGATGTCCTGACTTTATCCCTGTTTGTCTCCACATCGGCCTCGGCCCTCAGGTCCAGAGTTCTGGTGCTCCATCTCGTACTTCGAGCTGGACATCCAGGTTGGGGAGATGTTCAAGGTACAGTCCAGCTGTCCTCTGGTGACGGTGGATGGGTATGTGGACCCTTCAGGGGGGGACCGTTTCTGTTTGGGACAGCTTAGCAATGTCCACCGCACTGCTGCCAGCCACCGTGCCAGGCGAGTACTGGACAGTGTTTCTGTAATTGTGTAAATGCCCTGTTTTCTTCTCTGACTTACTGGCCTTCTTTCTTCTTCTGCGGGTTATTTCGCTGCAGGCTCCACATCGGTCGGGGGGTTCTGCTGGAGTGTCGTGGGGAGGGGGACGTTTGGATGCGCTGCCTCAGCGACCACTCTGTGTTTGTCCAGAGTTTGTATCTGGACCGAGAGGCGGGCAGAGCACCTGGAGACGGTGTCCATAAGATCTACCCCGGGGCCTACATCAAGGTGAGTGCAGAGGTTGCTGCACGACGGCTCCACCTGCCTGTGAGCACAAAGTACAGTGCAGAGATGGGCGACTTGTTGGTGACTCGTACTTGATTCGCACCTGATTCCCACATAAATAGACACACAACTCCTACCTAATTGTCTCCGGACTGGACTCAGACCCATGAACATTAAGAGTCCTTTAACATTTCTGTAGTAGGAAATGTTTTTATAATCCTCTATTGTCACAGTGTGCGTCTGCCAACTACTGACGTGAGACACCCAAACAAAATGCACACAACAACACACGTCCAAGCTGAAAACTCCCAGAGGTCAGTGCTGCAGACAGTTTGTGAGTTAGCTGAGTTAACCTGGAGTTATTGCAATGTTATGTTCATGTCACTGCTGCTGTTGCGTTGTCATGTTCCACTCCTCATCTATGTAATTCAACATTGTTCAGGTGTGTAACTTTACTGCACTGTGAATGTCTCCCAGCTCAGACTTCTTGTTTCTGGTTTATTGTCATTTACTGAACTGAAAACCTGATAAATGATGTGTTCAGAGCTAATGAGATCCTTGGGACGTGGATCAACATGTTTCATGTCTGTGTGTTCACATGTCACTGAGTCGGGACCAGTTTTTAATGCTAATTCTGTTTTAACTGAATCACCTCTGCATGCCTTGCCTGTGTGTCTGTGTGCAGGTGTTTGACCTGCGTCAGTGTCACAGACAGATGCAGCAGCAAGCAGCAGCAGCTCAGGCGACGACGGCTGTCAGTGCGATTCCGGGGCCAAACGGTGTGGGAGGGATTGCCCCGGCTGTCAGTGAGTACCACCTGTCTGTCGCTCTGTCACTGTGAAGGTAGAGCACAAAGAAAAACACATTTAGGGTGAGGTGTGAAGGCCACATTTAAAAATGATCACAGAAATATGTTTTAAAGTTCCACTCCAGAGACATTGTAATGTTTATATTTGCATATAAAAATACGCTATAACCAACATATAGTCTAACACAGGTTTACCTAAAAACAAGTTCACTAGGCCTCAACATTTGCCCCTCATTATGCATTACAAGATCTATGAATATTCAAACATGCAAATGTGCCGTTCCAAACGTCGCTTAAGTTAACACTAGTTGTTAACCACTGGTAAAACTAGTTGCACATCTCATACCATCTCATAGCATTTGATAGCATGCCAATATCTCTTTATTTTTTAAGTTGATCCAAATCTAGTAACATTAACGTTACTAGAACAGAAGACCAGGAGCCTGTGTTATTATTAGCAGGTGGCTAACCGCAGCACAGGCTGCTACCATAGACCAAAACCATAGCCAACAAGCTGTTAATATTGGTTTGTGTCTGACACCATCTCAGTGTTGGCTAATAGTAATCCTATAAATAGTGTGAAGAAGCTCCAGGATCTGGTTTACATCCAAAAACTGCGCCCACTGACATATTTATAGTCAACTTTGGCGAACACACTCTTGTCAATCAAACATTAGCTCTGGCTGTTCCCAGGTCAGCAGTTTTGGGTGTCGGGCGTCAGCAGGTCCTGTCAAACTTTCAGATTTGTGTCGTCACAAGTTTGGTTTGCCTATGAACGTTTGAAATCAGGATTTCTAGGAAGTGGACTGTCACTGCCCCCTTCAGAGAATTGAACGTTTGACACCGAGTTAGTGACAAACTGCACATACACTAGTCAGCACAGTAGAAGTTCAACATTTTAGGGCATATAAACATAAAAAAAAACGTTGTTTTTGAGTTTAGGGGGTTTTTAAAAGAAGAGAAAGCAAAGCATTTTTAGGATCAGGTAATGGCGTGAGGAAAAAAGTATGGTGGCATGTAGAGAGAACAGCTGCACACATGGAGTTTAAGCTGTCTAATCCAGTCAGAACACAAGATTGAGATATAATTTTGCTCTATATTATACTTCTTCCCATAAAATTATGACATTGTCAAACTTTTCTAAAACAACAGTTTCCTGAAAAGTCTCAGATATTTTCTTTGTCCTTTGTCCTATTTTGTTTCTTCTTGTTTTACCTCTGAGGTTGGTGTGTCCTCAGGTATATGCTCAGGTGCGATCAGGTCCTTGTGTTTCTATTTCAGTGTGTCCTGCTCTTCCTGCAGTGGCGTGCTCGTCCGCAGGTCTGGGCGTGGACGACCTGCGTAGATTGTGTATTGTGCGTCTGAGCTTTGTCAAAGGCTGGGGCTGTGACTACCCACGACAGAGCATCAAGGACACCCCCTGCTGGCTGGAGGTCCACCTGCACCGGGCGCTGCAGCTGCTCGACCAGGTGCTGCACACGATGCCACAGCAGGACCAGGCACTCTGACTCTGCTACACCAGTGTGTGTGTAGTGTGTGTGTGTGTGTGTGTGTGGGGGTGTGTGTGTGTGTGTGTGTGTGTGTGTGTGTGTGTGTGTGTGTGTGCGTGTGTGTCTTGGGCTGCAGACTCAGACAGGTACACACCTCCCTGCTTCAGACAATCAGCTAACCACAGCATCTCACGCCTCCTGTCAATCACATGAATTTCCATGGATACCAGCATCCAGGGACACATTAAAGGGTCAGTTCACACAGAACATGAAGGAAACCTGTCCAGTTTCTGAAGGACCAAAGATGTGACTGTGAGTCAGCAGGTGAGAGTGAGAGCAGGCAGGTACAGATCTGTAGATCTGTTTCTTTCTTTTCCTTCTTATGTTAGCATAGTTAGTGTACTCTGAAACTGATTTCAGACGCTAGCTCTCAAAAATCATTTTCTGCCTTGATTAATATTGGGTCCAGACTACACAGTTTTTTTTGTCTGACACGATGGTCACTGTGTCAGAGTAGTGTACATGATTAGAAGGTCATATAGTAAATTTGTGCCATGGCTCGGACTAAGCATATGACAGACTACACATTGGTACCCAACAGATCACAGTCTGCCATCATTCATGACCTGTGTGGATGAGGTGCAGGGACTGGGAGAATGTAAACACAGGATAGTGCCTGAAGCAGTGTGTGTGATACTGCCTGCTTGTGTTTGGAAAACCAGATAAAAGAAGAAATGCCTGCAGCTCTGTCTGTGGGTCGCATGAACAGGGCAGTAGGCTATAGGCTGTCTATCCTTCATGGAGAACTTTGGCAGCGGCTAAAAAGAAGTGTCCTTGGCCAGAACTAAAAACTAGCTAGCTAGCTCTGTTAGGGTAGCTACTTCACAAGGCTGACTGTGACATTCAGTGTGCTAACGTGAGGTGTATCTCTGTGTTATTTGATGTATATGGTTCAGTCCAATATACCAAAGGTGTTGTGAACAGAAGAACAATCTGTGCTCCTATTGGTTAGTGCTGCCCAACACGTTGTAGAAGTAGACAAATTTCTGACATGCTAGATTTTGTGTCGGGACATCGTGAGGCTTCCCACGTGCAGCATTGGTTGTCATTTACTATGATACACCAGTTGGGTCGGGCTGTTATCAGACTTAAATCATGTGGTCTGAACCCAGGATAACCATGCCTCAGATGAGACATTTTGTTTTTCTGTTTTATGCACACTATTTATGTCCCTGAGGCGGGGCTAAATAACAGCAAAGTGTAGCTAATAAATTGACAGCTGAGTGTATTTTCACAGGATGGAGAAAATCTTTTGTGTAATTTGAGTAAACTGACCCTTTAACCGGTTTGAGCCATCAGTTGAGTTTTCTGTTGGACTGCTCCTTTAACATGTGGATTACAACTTATTTATTTTTATTGATTACTTACCAAAGATAATGACATAATTTCTTGTTTGTGCTTCAGCTCCAATCTGGTGTATGTTTTAAAGGCTTTTATTCTGAAAGGGTCTGCAACATGTACTGTTTATTCAAATTAAACATTTGTTATAAAAAATAATAAATCACTGCTTCTTCTGTGCCTGTGTTAGTATCTTGTCACTGTGCAGCATTCATTTAATGTTACACTCAATAAAAATGAAGTATTAAATGTGAAATGTTCCAGAAAAGTGGTGAAAAATATTAATGCAGATTATCTGTGATGACTGAGTGAAAATAGTTTTAAAAACAGAGCGACCGAAGCCTATTGAGCCAAACTAAAACCATCGGTCGAAGAAGTACTCAGATGACTTATTTCAGTAAAAATGAATACTACAACAGTGGAAATACTTTGGTGCAAGTAAAAATACTGTATTTAAAAGTGTGTAAATCAAATGTACATAAAATAATAAAAACAGTTATTATATATTGCAGGGTTATTATTATTGATGTATTAATCTTTATGCTCTGGTTGGTCCAGGTGGTTTCAGATACTTGTCTTAGCTTTGGTAGTTTAATCTTCATGAAGACAAATCTTTCCATCACTGATTCTAAAAACCTTATTTTCTGTGAAATCTGAACATTTCCACTTGTGTTTAATTGAAATGATTTTTTTGTAAGTTGCAGAAATGCCTTTGTATTTTAAATACATCAGGTGCTGCTACTGATCCTTTTTCAGTTTTTGTCAGAAAATCAACAGTAACAGAGTAAATGTACTTTGTTATGATGTTCTGCAGCAGGTGACAGCAGGAAAAGCAAAACTTGATTTATGGTCCTGTGTTTAAACTACATAGAGCCTACGCCATAGGCTGTTATCCTTTATACCTTTTAAAGCTTTATTGAATGAAGATGTGCACAACAGCTTAGGCACATTCAGGATTTTACAACTTGCAAACCTCAAGATGAGCAGCAAAGGGGGATTATCACAGACTGAATTGAAATAATTTATTAAAGACAATTGTTTTTAACATATTCCAGTGACTTGTACAAAGGCTTTAAGACATTCTTCCAGTGGTTAAAACAGGGCTTCATCTTAAGATTTCTACATTTATGTATAAAGAATTGACCCAGTAACAGCAGATTATTGAGAACAAAGGCCAGACTCTTATCACTGACAAACAGTCCAAACTTGGTATTTTCCCACTGTGAAGGGTGGTACCACAGGCTCCTTCACCTGCAGCCAGCTCTGCATATCCCTCCAGAAAGAGGAATATACTGTACACTAGAATAATATATTTTTTGCAAAAACTTCAATTATTTGCATCAAAATTAAACTTCATTTTTAAGAATTCGTTAGTAGTTTACTTCTCATTTAAAGTTTTGAAATGTACCTATTTAACCTTGAGAGGAAGAGGAAATAAAATATATTCTCTCATTCTTTGGTCTCTGTTTCCAAATTGCTTAAGGATATACTTTCTTTTAATAGGATTTGAATAGCAGATTTGTAACAGTATATTTCCAAGTGCTGTGTTCTTGTATTTATTGTCACAGAAGTCCATCCCTTATGTGCAGAGTTCTCCAGGTGAAACATTGGAGTGTAACATGTCTTCTTTTACCATTGTTCTGACAGAGGCTGGCGTGGCTTCTATTCTGTTGTATCTTCAGCAGTACATTGAAGTTTTTACACACCTTTTCATGCTGTAACAACTTTCCATTTTCATCCAGAAAATGAGCAACAGCCCAAATCCCTTTGATTCTCCATTCCTCTATACACACAGATCGTCTTATAAATAGTATGTATCTGTTATTCCACACAGATGTGTTATATGGTGTAAAATGTTGGAGTTAAAAAGTAGCTGTTACTTTTAGTGAAATTACTAGAGCTTTTTTTTTTTTAAATAAACTTTATTTCACAGAATAAAAGTACAATATAAGGAAACCAGAACAGTGCCAGGGGTAAAACGGTTTGGTTTTTCAAATTTGCATTTGTGTAGACATTTTTTCCCTTGAAGGACATTTTTGTTAAGTTAATTAAAAATTGTTGTTCTCCATGTAAATGTCCCATACAATGACCATGAACACCACTAACTAAATTCTCAAATTTGAGGTTAAAATCTGATTACTACATATGAGTCTGCAGACATCTTTCCAAAATGTGTGTGTGTGATCACTGCACCAAAATAAATGGCTAAAAGTTTCCCATTGACCACCACAGGGGAAAGAAGAAATTTCCTTTTTAAATAAAGAGTGATTTTTCCTATTGTTCTTTGCTGAAAAACACACTTTTCCAGCTGAACACTGCTGGATCAACAGAAGGAATAGTATTTGGATGGGGACAACGTTTGAATAACATTAGTATGCTAGAGGGAATAGCACCGAACACAGTAGCAATTTCTAGTGATATTACGTGTGACACAGACGCTTCTCAGCTTGTATCAAGAAGAGACGGCGTTTCCAAATGAAGCCTCGCTTTTGACCCCTGTGTTGTTTTCCCGATTGTCACGTGATCGATAACAAATTTGGCCCCGATTTCAGACAGAATCACGTGACTGTTTCAGTCTGAGATTCACCGATTCGAACTGTTGATACAAGGACAGAGAACCTGAAACTTTTCCGGTTGTAGTTGGATGGTTACATTGTGGAAAATGCTAAGCCTTTACAGTATGTTGATAGTTTTAGCTTTATTTATTGTTTAGTATTGAGGATTTGAATTGGGTTCGATTCAAATCTTGATAGTGAGAATACCACAATTAATAAACCGAAATTTCTGCCTGTAAGCTAAAGGGTAGTATATATCTCATATAATAGAAACTTCTGTTTCTAAATAAAAATCAAATGTTTCCCTTTCCTCTTTCAGTTACACAAGCATATCAGTATTTACTTTCAACGGTGATTGATGATGGCTGTACTTCATCATTTTAACAGTAGGTGTCACTAGTGAACGCTGAGTCAGATGAGGCTTCGACTAAAGAACCTATTGGTGACGCAACAGACTGCAAAGCCTAGTTTCACTAGTAATTTCGGTAAAAGTAACTGCTACTCAAAATCTATCAGTTTTAACTCCAACATGACCCGCTCAGTTTCAGTCGCCACTGTTTGTAAATGGTGAAACAACGCAATACAGTAACTCAAGTTTCAGCTCCTCCTTTAACAACTGTTTCTGTTTCTTCTTCGTCTTCTTCATTAGCGGTTGGCAAACAATGAATCGGTGTATTACCGCCACCAATTGCTAAGGACGGTTTAAAAAAAATCATACTCTCTTTCAATTAACCTAGTTGTTCTAAGGTTCTGGGCCAAACATTAGTAACATATATTTCCTGGGGATTTTCTCAAGATATCTGTTAGACCATAAGGTATTTTTATCCCTATAAGGTTTTGAATTAGGCCTCTTCTTTGTGTTTGGTAGATCTGACAGTGTAGCTTGATGTGTTTTAATGTCTTTCCTTGTCCACAGTATTCACAGTGGCCTGTATTATGTTTCCCGTACCTCTCATCTCTCCTACTTCCCTTTGAATCTTATAAACCACCGTCCTTTACTTTGTTCCTGCCACTTCTCCATCAGCCTCTGTTTAATACTTTTAAGTTATCCTACTAAAGTTGACTGCTATAACAATAACATTAGTTGTTGTTTTTTTTTGTTTCCTTTGCAACTGTGTCCACTGTTTCATTTCCCTTTAACCCAGTATGTACTAATACCCTTAAAAACACATTTGTTAGCCCCATCTTTTGAATTCTGTATAGTGTTTATAATATTTCATTTAAGATGTCTGGTCTGCTATCTCATGACTGTGATGTAAACTAGCCAGTGAGGAGCTTAAACCAGTGGTCTTGTATCATCTATTGATTGTAGTGCTAAGAGCAGGGGTGGGCAATTAATTTTCCCAAGGGGCCACATGAGAAACTGACAGTTGTTGAGGGCCAATACACCTACAGTTCTGTCCAATATGTATCTCTTTATAAAAAACAGTAAATGAAACATTACAACGATACAATGAAATGTGGACAAAAGAATGCCACTATTTAAAGATGTCAGCTGGCGTGAAAAAGAAAGATTGATTCAGAATGCAGAGTTTTTAAAAAGGTAGGACTTCCCAGTATTAATTTACTGAAGTCAAAGGTAAAGCTGTGCGCCCAATTTGTGGAGAACAGATAGGATAGTTTAAGGATTACAATCTGAATCGCTATTACGAGATGAAACACGCAGAGAAGTACAAAAACTTGACTGATGCGGAACGGGAACGGATGTCTGAATCTTTGCTACTGTAGCTAAACTGCAAAAGCAGCAAGGATTTTTTTTTATTTTATTTTTTTTACCAAAGCTCACACATCGGGGGATGCAGCAGTCAAGATGAGCTTTGTGATATCCCACAAAATCGCCACAACAGCAAGTTATTCTCCGATGGGGAGTTTGTCAAAGAACGTTTGGTGGACTGTGTAGCGCTAATATGCCCGGAGAAAAAGAAGCGTTCGTCATTGCGCCCCTTTCCTGGCAAACTAGGCTCGAGGACATCGCGGGAAATCTGAAGCTTCAGCTGCAAAACAAAGCAGACAGATTTGACTTTTTCTCCTTGGTTCTAGATGTGATGTTCGCGACACGGCCCACTTACTCGTTTCTGCACGTGGATTAACAAAAAACTTTGAGATGACAACTATGCGTCAATGAAAGGGAGGACGACGGGGAGTGATTTGTTCACAGAGGTAAATGCATGCATGGATAAACTGAGACTAAAATGGGACAAATTGGTAGGTGTTACAACCGATGACTGTCCAAATTCTACAGGGAAAAATGTTGGACTTTTGAAGCGGATGCAAGATAAAGCGACTGAAATAAGCCCAGAACAGAAATTGATATTTTTGGATTGTATTATACATCAGGAGGTTTAATGTAGGTGAGGGTACTTAAAAAAGTATGGGATCTGAGAGCAGAGATACTGTACATGTTTTGTGAGAAGAAAGGCAGGGATTTCACAGAGATCTCAGATGCAGACTGGATGGTAGACCTGGCTTTTTCTGTTGATGTGACTGCACTAATGACTGAACTAAATACCAAGTTGCACAGGTCTTTTTGTACATGAAGTGTACAGCCTGGTGAACGCTTTCACGAGAAAGTTGAAGTTTCTCTCAAGCCAGTTGGGGGGCAACATTCTAGTCCTCATGCTCACACTGAAGGAAGTCACACCATCAGCTGATCACCTCCGCAGGTACTCATCCATGTTAGGAACACTGCATGGTGAATTTTCAAAACGATTTGAAGACTTTAAAACTGTTGAAAGTTAAATGATGTCCTCTCCTTTCACTAGCAGTGTAGATAATGCAAACAGTGATGTCCAGCTTGAACTCATCAATCTGCAGTCTGACAAAGTACTGGCAGAGCACTTTAAGTCAGTATCACTACTGGGTTTAATCTGCTCTCAAAGAGGAGAGCTTTCCAAACTTAAGGAGGTATGCTCATAGGATGTTGGATCCGCCTACATGTGTGAACAAACATTCTCAGTAATGAAGTTCAACCAATCCAGATACAGATCCTCTCTAAGTGATGATCACTTGTGTGCTGTCCTTCGCATATCCACATCAGATATTTAACCTGACTTCAGTGCATTTGTTCAAGCCCAAAACAGGCTAGATTTCTCTCACTGCACTACAAAAAATAACTGAGGTAAAGCAAACAATGCTGGGTGCATTTGTTGCTTTTTTTGCGTGAGGTTAATGTGATGCTGGTCTTTAAAATACTTGTTATTTTGTGTAAAGTTAATGGATGCTAGTTTTGCACATTTTGAAACAAGCAGTCCAACACATTAGCAAACACATTAAAATGAGCGTGCGTATGGTCACACCAGAAAAACCGTTAATAGCTCCTTCAAAATAAAAGGAGTGCAGTTGTATTGCGTGCACGTATTACTGTAATATATTTACACCGACTTTTAATTTACCAGTGACTTTCTTTTCTCATCTTTTTCAGTAAGGTGAAGTCAATTTGTCTTCAGGAAGAATCCAAGGGTGTATAGTTGGCACTGTTGGACTCATACTTAGCTGATCTGTTTCTAATTCTACAGCTTTGTGTTTCATCCAGGTTTTTTGTTTCTCTCCTCTCCTTGTACCAACATGGTTTTAAGATGTCCTTTGTGAAACACAGTGGCATAGACACACCACTGCTAACTAGCGTTTTGGCAATGTGATTGCAGGCTGACACAGACACACAAGTGCACAAATATAAATGCTCACAAGTGCAGAGTCCACTTACATAGCCTACACCGAATGTGTGATTGCACCAGAAATGTGATTGCAATAATAAGAGTTCATAAGAGAGAAAAGTTTATTCAGATAAAAGGTGTATATGACCAACTAAAAGTTACTGCACAGAAAAAAATTAACATAGTAATTAAATATGAATAAAATAAATAATCAGTAAATCAGAATCAAATTAAAAGTGTGCATGTTCATATAACAATAGCAGATTATTTTGTAACCCTTTTTATTTAATAAAAACACAATTCAATACAAACAATTGAATAACGCATCAAATAAACACAAGTAGGAATAATACATCAAAGTAAGCTTAAATAAACAAACAGAACAAGAAAAACAGGCAGGACAAAGTGAAAACAAAATACCAGAGGTAAAAAATTAGCTGATTAATTGATAAAACTTTTTGCAGATATCTGTAAAATATGGCGCCAACAAGGGCAAAGAGGGGGCGTCTGTAACGTTTAAATGTTTCATGTGTGCGAGCTTTTATTGGTTACAGCCCTTGGCACTTCTAGCCAATAGGCGAGAACATTTTGCATAATACGCTGTTGGGGGAGTGATTCAATAAGTGGGTTGTCTTTGGACCAATAGGAAACCAGATTCTGAAACTATGTGAATATTCACCTTGAAGGGGCGTGGCGTCACCGTGGAGGCCGGGCGCAGGCGAACATGGAGGTTTAGTTATCGGTTGGTATCCGCTGGATAAGGAGGGCACCTTACGAAACGTCTTTTATTTTCAGTTTTTCTTCGTTTTACTTTGTTTTTTGGCCTCAACATGGAGATGAAGAAGAGGATCAGCCTGGAGCTGAGGAACAGAAACCCAGCTGAGGTGTGTAACTACAACAGCGCGTATTTATTTATTTCCATACGAAATTATGAAGGATGCAGAGTCAAAGCCACATGACGATGCTGAAAACATTCATCGGTTGGACGTCGAGTTTTCTCTGCGGAGTCTGTGAATAATCCCTCCCTTGGCCTGTATAGCGCCGACATTTTGATGAAAAACATAACTTCGTGGCGGCTCCAACATGGAGGAAATTCCCACGGTCGGTCCTGGAGGAGCTCGCCGCGTGCAGCCTCTCTATCGCGCATCGTATTCTCGCACGAGCGTGGAGGATCCCTGGAGCCTCGCGCGAGTCTTCTGGCTGCGGCTAGCACACGGGCTAACTTGCTAACGCTCATAACATCTGTGATGGAGGTTGGTTGCTGGAGGTCGGCAATATAGCTTGATAGTACAAAAAAAAAAACACATGCATATGGCTGTTTGGTTTCAGTTACATTTGTTTAAACCATCCGGGCGCCCCGCGTGGCCGACCAGGCTACCATTTTAAGATTCAGTGTTTAAAAAGGTAATTGTCCACGAATCGCGTAATCCGATGGCGCGTCAAAAACCAGACCACTTTTTAATTCCCTAATCGTAAATTTACTTTGTTTTGGGCCAGGGTGCTTTTCGGGCCCAACACGATTTAAGTCTATCGACAATCCTTTAGGTGCTGTGGATCACTTCGGCTAAGACTTAAATCAACCTCCCAGTGACTATGGACTGGAGATATTTAGAGTTTAAAGCAGTCGTTTCCGCCCAACATGCCGTGTTTTCGGAGGTGTAACTTGGTGTGCAACAGTTCTAAAATCTCAAACAAACAAACAAACAAAACGTAACGTCCAGTTTGCCGTGTGGCAGATTTACCCGACGAAACTTAACAAACAAAAATACCACTTATTTTCTGAAAGGCAGAAACGTTGTCTATAGTGAAGTGTCGATTTCACGGCACCAGTGTGGTTAATGAGGCGATACTTAGGCTAACCGTTTCATTCCTTTACACACAAATGCGATTACTTTAACACGGCGTAACGTTAATGGTGTCAGTGTCCTAACGACGGATGTTTATCAGTCGGTGAATTCAGATCCACACCAACAACTTTTTGTCTGCGTATGTGTGCGCGTTAATGTCGGTCATTATTCAAAGAGTGTTTGTTGAAGGGATGGATGTCCCCGCCGTGTTCGCCCTTCCGGTTTAGCACCCTGATCTTAAACCTGGATCATCCCATATAATGTAGACCTGTTTTCACAGATAGAATAAAGCTTTTACAAATTTGAAACCATATTTTAAAAAGGCTTTATACTATCAGCGACAATCTGGTTCAGCTTTACCTATTCTGAGTGTGATGGTTTTGTTGTTGTTGTCTAGACCTGGTCTGAGGTGGTTTGATGGGGTAAAAACTAAAATCGCCCTGTGGTGGTTTGAAGGCTTGTTCTGGTTTTACAGTACTGGGTGGAGAAAGCAATAAAACAGTCTTTTTGTTGTTTGTTTGTTGCTGCAATGTCCAACACAGTGACAACAGTAAATGGTTCAAAAAGCAGAATTAGCTCAAAATTAGAATTAGCACTTTCTGCCGAATTGGAAACTAAGTTCACGAACTGTGTCAAACTGACCCTAGAGCAGTGGCTTCCAACAACAGCCCAAGTTTCCATAGTTTCATCAGAACCTTTGCACAACTCATTAATCTGGTAACAATTGAAGTAACAGATTTGTGTAAACCCAGTAAACACAACCTTGTTATAACAGATAAAATCAATGTTTTAAACAGACAACAGTGTCATAGCTGATACAGTATTTAACTCTGTTCACTGACTTTGGATAATCACATTTGTATCAGTGATAGTGAATTGAACAGGAAATACAGTGATGCTGGCTGGTTTATTAAACTGCTATTTAAACTTACAACACCTCAGTGATTTTAGTCTAATGATGACGGAGGTACAAGAGGCTGTGTTATTACAAAATACTTACATGTTCATAAGTGCTGCATTAATGTAGATGTTACTGTGTGCAATGTGACAGTAACATCACTACTAAACCAATGTTCAAGGAGCTTTAACACAAAAGTATAATATTAAACAGCTCTGGGCTATTGGAACCTTGAACTCTTCAATACTATAAACTGAAGATTCTATTATTTATTTCATTGTGTATTTAATCAAGTTTATCCATTTTAGCTTGGACAGTTTGTACAGTTACTTAAATCTCATTTTGCTAGTTCAATGACAGTAAAGGCTTCTGCATTCTAAAGTACTTTATCAGTGGTAGTCCAATGTGTTTTAACTTTGTGGTTGACATCTATGGAACATTTAATGCGGCTGAACATTTTCATTAAACTAACCTGTTAGTTTTGAGACATGATCACTTGGTGGCAGGTGGAAGTGTTCTCATGGTAATGCCATACTTGTCTCCATATTTCTCAGTGATTCCCTTGTGTTTGCGCCAATTTGCCGATCACACAGTTTATCTGTAACACTTTCCACATGGCTGAATCTTTGTGAAGCAGCTGAGATGTGATCAGTCACCTGGTTTTCAAAAAGTGACACTTGAACACACCGCACACACAACCACCAACAGCCGACTGGCAAGTCGGTTCTGCGCTTGCGTGAGAGAAATAACTCGCCCTACTGGCGGGTGGTGGTGTCTGTATTTACCACTCAGAAAGGGAAAGAAGGAGAGCTAGACTGTGGAAGTATAAGCTATAAACAAAACACCCACACTGCTGCTGTTTAAGGCTGCTTCTAATCAAGAATGTGTTTGATAAAAAGTTGCAAATGACTCTGCCGTTATCTGGCCTTGGTCTTTTGGTTGTAGAGGCAAAAAAACAAGGAGAAAGCACACTAAATGGGTGAAATCATGGACACTACAACAGACTGAAGGGGCTTTCCTGAGCCGTTCTCTTCTCAAGCATTCATTCACTAAACTCAACAGCCAATCAGAGTGGTCTCATTCTCACTGACAAGGCCCAGCGTGCTGACACTGACTAGTGCCAACAGTTTGTGACACACTGGGAAGATGAGCCCTGACAGATGCTCACTCATGGTCCGATCATCGGCTTGGTGTGGCTCTGCTCTTACAGTAGTGGCATCATCATCGTTTGCCCACCTCTTTAGTGGAATGTGTCATTATAGTGTTGTGGACCTAAAATAGTGCAGATATTTCCAGGTCTGTGCTGTTGTACTACATAGCGTGAATGCTAAGTGTGTTGTAATAAAGGTGTAGTGTCATTGGCCACTGGGACTCAAACCTGCTGTTGTCCTGTTGGATTACATCGTGTCTGCTGTGGTCACCAGGTGACGGAGCTAGTGGTGGATAACTGCCGCTCCACTGATGGCGAGGTCGAAGGTCTGACAGATGAGTACACGGGGATGGAGATCCTCAGCATGGTGAACGCCGGCCTCACCTCACTCTCCAAGCTGCCCTCTCTGCCCAAACTATGCAAGGTTGGTCAGCGTTCCTGTTCTCAGAGTTCACCTTTAGCTTTTGGTTTTGTTGAGTCACTATCTTGTCCATGGATTCACACCTGTGAGCTCTGTGTTTCAGCTGGAGGTGAGCGATAACACCATCTCAGGAGGTCTGGACACGCTAGCGGAGAAATGTCCCAACCTGACATACCTGAACCTGAGCGGGAACAAAATCAAGGAGCTGAGCAGCATTGAGGCGCTGGTAAATATCACTGAACACGATCTGTGTTTGATGTTTGTGCTGCAGATGTTAACTGACTGCTGGGTAGGGTAAAACTTCTGGCTGCACCCTGTCGGCACAAACGTGGGTTAATCACAGAGTCATTTTGAAGGACGAATTTCAAAGTTGTGGTTTCAGCCTTGGAAACGTCTGAGGACTCGTGTGAGGGGAACAGTTTTGGACTCCTGGGCTCCATTTTCTGATGCTTTATAGACCAAACATCTACTTAATGGCAGTTATAATATGGCAGTGAAAATTGTAATATTTCCAGAAGAAAGGTTGCTGCAATTTTACAAGAAAAATATTTTCTTGTAATAAAGTTGTAATTGTACACAAGTTGTAGTATTCAATGATAACTGTAGTAATATTTCAGGATCTGTCTGGAACTTTACCAAAAAAGTTGCAACAAATGAAAGTTGTATGATATTATGATGGATGGCATTAATCCAAACATTGTGAATTTAACAGCGGCGTCTGTCAGCATTATTAAGTGATTATTTTTTTTTTTTTTTTTTTTTTGGTCTGTATGACATTGGAGCAGTGGAAAACGGTCAGAGCCCAAGGAGTCCTCTTCACACATCTTTTTTTTTTTTTGCAGCCATCATTATAAACAATGTTTTCACTTTACGTTCATGTCAAACCAAAAAAGCAACCTAGAACCATCTGGTTTGCATTTCTTCTTCAAAGTCAGTAAACCCCCGATATAACTGCCACAGTAGTCATAGAATTGTTTTCTTCTGTCAACTAATGACTCAGCTCCTGCTGCAGAGCACAGTCCCATAAATCATCTCAGGTGTACAGTTATGTAGGTCTCCTGTGTGAGGGTGTTCCTCTCTGTTCACCCTGAGCTCCCACCAGCAGGCGTAGTGTGTGCGTGGTGCGACGTATTGCTCCTGACCCTGCTCTCACGCTGACCTCTGTCCTGTGCTCTGCTCCTGCAGCAGAACCTGAAGAACCTGAAGAGTCTGGACCTGTACAGCTGCGAGGTGACCACGCTGGACGACTACAGAGAGAGCGTGTTCGAGCTGCTGCCTCAGCTCACCTACCTGGACGGGTATGACCAGGAGGACAACGAGGTGCCCGACTCGGAGGCTGACAACGGTGAGACTGGAAACATTCAGAGCCAGTCGAGGTTTGGCTGGAAGACTTGACGCTGATCTTTTTTTCTGAGTGTCCAGAAGGTTGTTTATTTGTCATGTTGGACTTTGAAATGTCCAAGTGAAAGTTTTGAGGCTGCAACATAATAAAACTGGAGCTGCAATAATTCTTATGTTTTCAAATAGATGGTTTGAATTGTCTGTGTTTAGTTTTTTTTAAGGACGTTTTAGGAGTGAGTTCAGTCAGGATTGCCCTCCTGTGTGAAGAGTTAAAGTGGAATCTGTCTGTTTCAACAAAAACAACAATAAACTGAGGAAACATTGATGTTGATCCAGATGAGGATGATGAAGCCGGCCCACCTGGAGATGACGATGACGAGGAGGAGGAGGAGGAGGAGGAGGAGGAAGGCTCTGAAGGGGAAGAAGATGAGGTTGGCCTGTCGTACCTGATGAAGGAGGGAATCCAGGTGATTCACTAGATCCTAAACCTATGACAGAGACCAGTTGTCAGCTGGCCTTGGTCTGTTCACACTAGCTCACTGAGACTGGGTAAGCTTGGTGTTGGTGCACACATGGAGGAGCCTCTCACAGCTGGGAAACATGAACGTATTAGTTTTATTTTATTTCGACCCTGTGTCTGATCTGAATCTTCTGACAGTGGTTAAATCTGCATGTGACAAATTGTTTTTCACAAACTGCTTGGTCCAAATACCAAAGGTCGTGGTTCAAAACTATGATGCTGATCACCTTAAATTATTGATCTGATCTGAATGGAGACTGTGACACCTGAAACTGATGTGGTGAGATCCTCTAGAGAGAGGATGTCTCACTCGGTTGGAAATGGTCCACTCTGGTTGTACAGAGGTGCTACACAGCATGGAGTTTCTTACCTCACAGATGATCTTTATTTACTCAGGAAAACTGTGAGGCATGCCTTTTATCAACAAACGGGTCCAGCATGTTGGTCTGTGCAGCGTGAGAAGCTAGTGGAGTAAACAGCAGAGATCAGCGACTCTTTCTTCCTTCAGACATTGTAAAAAGTGATGGCCATTCTTAGCCTTTGGAGCCATTTGTTGAAATCATATCAGATGTCACATGTCTCCTGTTGGAATAAAATGGTAACATATTTTGAATACTTTAGTAGAGCGCCATAGGATGGCGTGTTTTTGTAGGCCAACCCAGAATTTGGCATCACTCTGGTTGCTGCGAGAAAAAGCCAGTGGGAATTTTCACAGGGTTTATTGCAGATAATAAGCTCTGTCACAAAGAACAGTTTGACACTTGCACCTTTTGTTCATCAAGATAATCTTCACAGGTGAGCACTGCTTTATGATGTTTGAAGCCCAAATACAATCACCAGAAGTAAACAGCTATTGTTAGGCTGTAAACGAGATACGCCACGGTCCCATGACTTTAGCGTCACCACCACGGCTTCTGATTTATAATCTGATTGAGCGCACTTACCTCTTCTACAAAATCCCTTCCACTGAGCCTGATCTGGTCGAGCTAGTGGTCATGGCTGGGTCAGAATAGTTTGCAAGTGCACAGGTTTAAACACAACGAGGCTGCAAAGGCTAGTGAGTAGACAAGTCTCAGTGTTTGGTCTGATCACGGTTAATATCCCAGATAGCCTCCGTCTCATTTAGCCACTTGTTAGCAACCGCCTTTTTAAGACGCGTAAAAGCATAAAAAAAATCACGATTGTGGTATTTACTCGTGCATTTGATGTCAAAGAATGAAATGTTGAAATGTACTGTCCTTGCGTAAACCACAGAAATCGTCTCAGGCCTCCACCTCTAACCCACCGACTCTGTTCCAGTTGTGAGGTCTCACTACTACGGCACTTTGTAGAGTTAGTGTCTGTGCTTGTTGTTACTCGCTGTGACCACTGAGCGGCGCTCTCCACTCAGTTTCCCACAAAAGCAGCTGACAGTCTTTATTGTTTACTGATTCGTCGGTCGTTTCCTCAGGATGAAGAAGACGATGGGGACTATGTTGAAGAGGAGGAGGACGAGGAGGAGGAAGAGGAAGATGGAGGTTTGTGTGCACTCCATTTGAAACCCTTGCTGGTGTCAGCTATGTGACCAGCTACGTGTTGAATCCTCATGGGTTTCATATCGAGTCTCAATGATAAATATCTGATGTGACTCATTTAATTGACAGTTTCCTCTGCCGTGTTCTGGCAGGTTCTGCTGTGATTTCTGCATGTGAGCTCACGTGCAGAAGTCATGACAGAGCTGAAAACAGCAGGGCCGACTCGGATCACTGAATGTGAAAACCCTTCTTCTTCTTCTCAGGCTTGAGACAAATGTTAAACGCGTGTAAACACAGGGTGGGACAAAACCAGTCAGTGTTTTCACTCAGACTTGAAACGTGGTAGTAGCAGTAGTAAAATAAACTGTTATTTCCTTTATTACAACTGGTGTAAAATTGAAATGTTTCTTTAACTATCGTCACTGGTTGCAAATGGTCTAAAGTTTCAGCATTTTGTTCTTGAAATATGAATTTCACAGGTAAAACTTGTTCTTTGTTCTTATCTATTACAGCTTTTTGTCATAAAATAAAAATTTAAATTTAATTCTGTAATTATTAGTTATTTGATTGCAAATCCTCAAAATACAGTTAGTTTTCTTCTCACGTGACTTCTTAAATGAGGACAGTTAGAACCATCAGTGAAGAATTTCCTCAGTGTTTGGACTCAGATGTATTTTAATTAGATTTCATTTAGTTGTTACTAGTATTGTGAATGAATGTCATTTGTGTCTCAGACGAGGACAGAGCTGGCGTTCAGGGAGAGAAGAGGAAGAGAGATGCAGAGGACGAAGGTGAAGGTGACGACGATGACGACGAATAGCTGACACCCTTGTAA